AAGCGCCCTGTTGTATTAGAACATATAACTCAACAAAACATAAAAGCCATCTCCAACATGGCCATCCACCAAGTATCCCATCCAATCTAATTCTTCCCTATTCTCATAACAAGTATGAATATCGCAGTCTAACAACATAGAAAAACAAGGATAAACTTCAAAAAGAAACATCATATATATCATCAAATAAAGAAGTAACAACTTCAAGCACCATATGCAACTCAAAAAATAGGTTAGCTTTACAAATTAAAATCATAACCACAATTGAACAACTAATAACGACTTAAACAATTAAGCAATTGAATAACTGTTACATTGTCCCACATAAAAACTTATAGATATCTCCTACATCTATGTGGGTAGTATAAGTATGTGACACCCTTTTATCCCAAAATAGTTAAATAAAGAATTAATTAATTTATTATACAAGTTTTATAAAATTATTATTATTTTGTCTCAATACTTTGTAAAAGGAATCATAATACTTTTTTACAACTTTAATAAATGAAAGAGAATATAAAGAAAATATTGTATGAATCAAAATAAGGTGAAACCGCCTAATAAAATAAACTCCAACTATTCAATGTGAGGATATAAAATTTAAAACAACTTCAACTAATTACTAAAACTAAAATTCTACCCCAATGTCACACTAATCATAGCAAAACTCCAGATAAATGGAACCCTAAGCTTCTCGTCCATCAAATACATCTTCTTGTACCAGATCTATTCTTGTAAATGACGATCAGCCTAAACACAAGCAACACAAGCATAGGGAGTGAGAATACACCTCATCCATTCACTACATATATAAAACATAAGGATAGACACACACATCTACAACATCAATAACATCTAACATGCATGTAAGCATCCTTCCTTACATCCACAATAATAAGTTCTATACATTCATTCATCATTCATAACTAGCAAGTCATACAATTTGACTCAATTATAAATTAAGATTCGTGCAATGAATGTTCATAACTTTATATGCATGTAGTACCAATTTCTTTATCATCATTGAGAATACAAATTAGCCTAGGAGTCATAGAACGAGACCATCCCATCAAATAGTGTAGGGACCACCCATCAATAATGATCCCTTTCAAACCTCCTCAACTACGGGATATCTCTCAGGGTCTTATCGAAGTGTTACAACTGAACATGGTAGACTCTCATTTTTGTTAAAGGTTTCCCCACTATAACACCTCCTGTGGCATAGGTAGGTGACCTATGATATTCCACTTGCATAGACTTACATTATCTCATGAACAAAGTATTAATGGATGGACTCAATACACACATCACAACAAATACAATATGCATAACTCATCTCCTTGAGTGTCAGTTTGCAACATTGGACTTATTCATCTCATCTCATCATATTATTTATCTTAATATACATCATCATATCCCAACAATTCATCCTCATCATGTTTCACAACATACATCATCATATTCCAATAACTTCATCACATCAATTCAATTAATAATATTCCAATACATAATCAAATCCTACATAAAACTCATTCATAGTATCTCATGCTCATAAGAAGCATAAAAAATTCATATTGCTCAACAAATAATGATTTTCACAAAATTCATAGGCACTTAAAGAATAACACAACTCACAAATTATCTCTTCTTATCTTGGGTTTTTATGACATTATGTTATATAAATGTGATATCTAGGATTATACCTATGATATCAAGTAGATATTAATTTTACTAGAAAGTTAAGATAATTATTTACAACTTCTATGTTGACCTAAAGAGTTAATTTTACCATCTACTATTTTTAAAAATTACAAAATCTCAGTATTTAAGTCTAACTATAATAACTTGACCTTTGTTCACTAATTTAATCATAACTTGAGTTATATATCTCTTTTTTGGATGATTATAGTGTCATTAAAAAGCTAACATTCAAGCCTGCAACTCTTATGAATACTACAAAACCCAATTCGGCCATCTAAAGGTCCTCAAAATGCTTACAAATTTCAAATGTTACATTTTGTGCATAGAACTTGAGACTTATCTTATAACTCACATAACATGGTTGTTTTCTTAACATTTTATGAGATTTTTGAGTCTAAACTATAGCCCCAAATATCTAATTTTCAACCCAATAAATGAAACTCTAATTAGTTAATCGGTTAATTATGTAAAATATTCAACCAAATCATCAAAAACTCCAATTTATGCACACATCACCCTAACTTATCATCACTTAAATTCAACACCAATATGTAAATACAACATGAATCAACACACAAATTCATAGAGTAAAATAGAAGTCAATCATCAATTCATTCATATGTCTTTACACAAATTAAATTCATCACTCTAAGAGGCTTGAAGATCGTCTCTCTACCTTTATCCTTTATATATGCCCATGACTTTAACAATCTTACTTCTCTCTACCTAGAGTGACGATCTTGTTGAACAATGCGCTTCATGTAGCTTTGTATCTCCTCTTAATTGCAAAGCGGGTGGGATAGTTGATAGTGGGCCCGAGTATCTTAACTTCCTTTAATTTTGCCTCCAATGGACGGATAGGGCTATTTTGGGCTAAACAAAATATAGCCAAAGGGATTGAATTCATTTTACACATGTTAGTCTTTGGTTATTATGTAATTTGGGCTATCTTGTTGGGCTAAATTACTCATAACCAATTCTTGTAATTATGGGTTTGTAGCAGCCCTAGTGCTACAAAGTAATACATTTTGGTTGTTCAAAAAAAATTTAGCTTTGACTGCTAATTTGTGCATCCTTTGATGGTCTCATCTTAGTTCTCTCTTATGAGTGCTTTAGGTTTTTAGAAACGCATAGTATCCTAACCCCTACCCTCTTTCTTCTTTTTAATTAGCCTTGTGTTGGGCCTAGAGCTAACCCAAAATCCCCTTATTTATCTCTCCCTTTTATTTTATTAATAAAAAAAATATTTCTCTTATAATATTCTAATTATTCTAATTTATCATTTATTTTTAGAAAATGGGATGTTACAAAGTAGCTTGATCTTATCGAACCACAACAATTGATGTAAAAACCAAAAACAATGGTTGACATGGTGACTAGAATTGATTTCTCAAGTTTCTCTACTTACACTAGGAAAGTCAAGTATTATTGGCAATAAGAGAACAATTTGGGTATAAGTTTACTACGACCTAAATATGCATAACTAAGCTTATATAGAATTAGTTTCTCAACTATCATTCAAATAATGTGCACATTTTCCAGTACTCAATTTGAGATTTTGGCCTTCAACCTTGTACCTTACTTGTTGGTTGCTTATGGAAGGTATGGTTAAGCTTCCACCATGCTATTTCAACTGAAAAATCTAGAGGAGATAACTTAAACAACTTCCTAGTCAAGAGACAACTTTCCCACTAAAGGTTCTTTTTCAACTTTTGAACTCTTAGAGCACCATGACAGATATCCACCCATATAATGGGATATTTAAATTTTTTAAAACAACTTTTATTTCCTTTAATTTTTATGCAACTTTCAACTTGCAAAATGCATTACATGTCCATCACAACTCACTTCACATAGCTTCAAACAACAAGCTACTTTTAACTTAGCCAACTTAAATCATCATCATACATAATTATATATCAACATACTATGAATTAGATTCAATTACCATCAACTTACATCAAGAAAATAGGTAAAAGAACATAATATATAAGTTTCACAAAACAAAAATCTCATTAACGCCAAGCAGTCTTGTTAAGCAACCTAAGCTCTCTAAGACTCTTCGTTGGACGAACTATTCTCACTTAGCGAGAAAAACTCTTTGTGGCTTTCCTCGCTAGGTGCGCTCTAGCTCATTGAGTGACATTGCTCCTTTAGAACTCGTCATTGAGCAACCAAAAGCTTGTTGAATGAACAAATCAATTTGTGGGTCCTTATTGCTAAGCAACAATCACATCATTGAGCGACAATCACAATGTTGGGCAGACAATCCCTAGTCTTGAATGGACATTGAGTGAGCATTCGTCCTTATTGGGCAAATCATTGATCATTTTCATGGAGATTCACTTTCTTTCATCAAATCCAACTACCAAAAACATGATCCATTTAATACAAACCATCAAAAACATCTAAACATCATATATATCATGAATTCAACATCAATTTCATCATACAACATCAAACTCATAAATCTCAACTTCCTTTAGTCACAAGCCTCCTTACACTTGAAAACTCCAACTTTACAACTTAAAAAACAACTTCAATCTTTAACAATTGAGCCACCAATGTGTTAAATAACTTGAATCACAACTTAAAATCATCTTAAAGATTTAAGCAACAAACTTCCCTTACCTCAATATTCACTAAACAAGGAGAGGAAGAGAAAATGGAGAAGATCCTGAAAACCCCTCATACGATGACTTCTCACTAAGATTCACAGTTTCTAAGCTTGAATCTTTAAATCAGCTACCCAATTCCCACCTAAAGAAAGGATCTAGGCATTTCAGGAGAAGTCAGAAGAAGAGATGATCTTCATTGGCTCTAGGTGTTACAAATTTTATTTCTACAAAAAAATTAACTAAAAAGTTAGGAATCAATAGATAGTGTGTTCGGGAAAACTTATTTTCCCACTTGTCAGTTCTTTGTGAAAAAAGTTAGTTGTTGGAGAAATTAGCTGAAATTTATAAACATTATTCTTTGAAAAATAATATATTTTTATAAAGTTGAATATTTGAAACTTATGAATATTTTTCTACAGCTTTCTTTTCTTTTAAACTTATTTACTAGATAAAAAATAATTTTTTTGTTTATTTAAACTAACTAAAATATTTTAAAACCACTTATCGTCAAATTTATTCAAACCAAATTTCATATAATCGATTATTTATATAATATGTTATTGAAATAATCTATTTTTCATATTGTATGAAGACGTATATGGCGTGTGAGTGGAGAGTCATCTCAACTCTCAGGTATAAAGAAACGCGTCGAGAAGCATAACGAGGAAGAAAAACAAAATCCTTCAAGAGCATCGATTTGAAAGCGATCACTTTTACTGTTATTATTTCATACATAGTACTTTTACACTCAAAAGGAAAATTGTGAACTAGTCACTAAGTATATTTCATTTAGGTATATGATTAAAATTTAATCATGATGTTTATCTTCATCCACATACCCTATCACTTCTTCAGTATTACTATCCTGTTCCGTGAATGTTTTTGCATCATCACCATCAGCTGGAGTTGCATCCTCCGGTCCAGTTGTGCTTGCATCGGAGGCGGACCCTGTGGCATTAGCCACATTTTGTTGCTTGTCCATCATCCCAGACAAGGCTAAACTTGGAGACCATTCAAGAACATCATCAATGATGTTAGATACCCTCTTCTGGTATCTGCATAAAAACCAAAGCAATATGTTGCAACTGTTGGAAAGACCAACTACAAATAGTTTTTCCCTTTATGGGTTCATAGATCCAAGTAGAAAGGAATTTAAGCCGAGTTTGAACATCAGCATTGTGTTTGGGACTTACCTTGCTCTGGCAGCTTCATCGGGGGCATGATGCCTCAGTAATAATATGAACAGCACAGCTACCCCAGCATAGAATAGCCTTGTTGTCCACTTGGGCCTTTCCTCTTCATCTTTCTTAGGCCAAAATCTGAACAACTCCCGCAGTGTTGCTTCCTCGGCAAGGATGTTAGGAAAAAACCAGATTCGCTTTCCAAGAAGAATATATAAAGCGCCAAATATTGTACCTCTTACTACAATATTAAAAAAGAAAACATTCATGAGGCCAAACGAACCACTCAAGCAGAATGTGGTGCACTCAACTCAAGAAGCATATTTCACATAACCAACCACTTTTAATCTAAAAGTTCTAACTACCAATAACAACCAAGTATTACGGAAGATATTCTAGAAATCATCAAGTTACAACAAGTTGGATTCAATTTATTTTAAAGAAATAATTGTTTATTTTTGCCAGTTTCCTGAAATAACATTTGAAAACAAAAATATTTCCTCAGAAATAGTCATTCCCATACATGCTATAAGAAGGTGGGATTGCAAATACGAGATCTAAAAAGACATTGTCAAAACCTAAATGGTACACAAGGAATAGCAAGCAGAACTTATATCAGATGGGATGGTAAACTCAAAACCCAAAAGCACACATAATAAAGATGCACGCTAATAGTTTTCTCTCCTAATGCATGTTAGGAGATCTGAAAAGACTTTATAAAAACCTAATGAATGCTTTTTCTCTCCTCTTTTCTTGATTACCTAGTTACTAGAAAATGAATCAAGAATGTGATTGTGCACATGGTATAACGCTTAAACATATAATGGAATTAGCTTGAGACACGAAATCTAGTAACAGTCCAAAAGGGTAATCTCTGAAGCATGGGTACTTCTACATATTGGGTGCCAGTAACATGTTAGGTACGTTTGAATACTTATCAAAATTAATTACTTAAAAGAAAGTAGAACACAGCATGTGGATAGGGATGACAAAACGAGTTACTCCGACCTGTTTAGGCCTGCCCTGCCGTTGACCTGCCATAAACAGGCTGGGCCAAGTTGGCCTTCCAAGGGAAAACGAATTGGACATCCTGACCCATCCCACCTAAGGATGGATTAGCAGGCCGATCCTTCAAAAAAAAAAAAAACAAAAAAAAAAAACAAAAATTTGCATATTTATTTTTGGATATCTCTTACAACATATTTCTTTCTCAATATCTAAAGAATCCACATAAATTAGTGTAACTAAATAATAAAATAAATCTCAAATTACAACATATTTGTTTTGATTTGCTACATAATAAAATATATATGTAATTATAATAATAATAATAACTCTTCCAACAAATTTACTACACAAAAAATCCCAAATTACATACATATAGTAAAATAATCAAATGCATAGCATATTTATTGTACAACAAATTACAAATTACTTATATAATAAATCTCATTTGACTTATTTAAATTCAATATTAAAAATTTAATAAAAAAAGAATTAGGCAGGCTAGCGGGCTAGGATGCCCAACCCGGCCCACCAACTTTTGGTGGGCCAAGGCCCTTTTGGTTACCTCTTGTTGAGGATGATTCTCTTGAGTATGATTCTAACGAGACTATGTGCAATTAGGGGTATAGCTAGGCATGCATAAGGTATAGGATAGATCAATTCCCTCCCACAAAAATGACAATTTTTTAGTTATATTTAGGGATTTTTTAGCCTTATAATTTTTCCATGTTCGTTTCTCTATTTAGATGCAAGTTTGTTAATTTATTTTATTGCAGATGTTTTCACAACAATCTATAAATATTTTATATTTTCATTTATATAATTTTAAAAATTATATTAACATATCAATACCTTCAAATTTAAAAATGTGGTATTTTGTACAGATATAGTACCATAGCCATTCTCATGCAACATAGAGGGTAATTAAAACTAGGAAAAGAAACTAGGCAAAAACTATCAAATATTAAAGGAAAGAAAAACTTACTCAATAGTAGAGAGAGAATTAGAAAAAGGATCCCAGCGCATGAGTAAAGTATTAATAGCTTGCAGCGATGAGGGTACACAGGAAACAAGCAAATAGCCAACGTTAACACAGGCCAGAAAAATGAGAGCAGTGTCTGCCAAAGTGGATGGCGTTTTACAAATGTCCAAGCGAAAAAAGCATCGTTTTCAGAAAATACTTGTTCCTGCCACAGACAATCAAATTTTGTTAGATTCAAACACAGAAAGAAACCTAATCACTTAACCAGGCGCAGAAAAAAACCAGACACTGATGATATTAACATAGAAAATGCATTTAAACTCCATGAATATCTTTCAATGCTCATATTTCTTCCCGCAAGTTTTTAATAAGCAGTTTTATTTATTATTTTCAAGATTAAGAATATACTTGATTACAAAAATAGATAAGCTAAAATATAATTGTGTAAGTATACAATATGATGCATCATACATATATAGCTAGCACAAAAATAGACTTGACTATGAATGCACCAACTAGCGGTTACTTATAATTCAAAAAAACAGACACCTACAAATGCAAACATACCTATGCTAGATAAAACCCAACAGAATAAGATGATGAAACTGGGAGTAAACAAAAGGTGACCAATAAATTAGGATGATTAAATCAGCAGCATAGTTATCAATCTTGGAAAGTGGCACATGGCAGCTGACCCCAAAAATACTTGTGGTGTAATAGTGCATAGTGGAATGGCAATTATTATGATATTTTATAAACAGAGTAAGAGTATACAATAATTTATTTATACTATATCCATATAATTGCTCAATAATTAAAAAAGAAAGCTAATAAATATTCATAATTAACAATAAAAAGACAAATAAACACTGGAATGTGGTGGGAAACAAACAGAATGCAGCCAGCAAGAGAACAGAAGGTCACAATCACCAGAAAAGGGTTACAGTCACTGGAAAACTGACAGAGAATCCGTCTCCAACTAAGCTTGTGGGAAACCAGTAAATGCCCTAGCCTTCGATTAAGGTCTGGAAGGGGTAAAACCTCTTTTTTTACAAAATGACACTGTGGGGGGTGGGGGTTGATCCCCATTTTAGATTTTCAGTAGAAGAGAACTGGTATAACACCGCTATTAATAAAAACAAATTCATCGGGTTAATGGCCTTATCTTTGTACAATATAGTAATATTACATTTGCCAACTGAGCTCTATCTTAAAATCCTTCAATCAATTTATTTTGGACTCCCTATAATAATAAATCTCATTTCCAACCCTCATCCCAGATATAAGTGATCTGAGAACTGCAGCAATAAGACATGAAAATCCTAGCCCCCCACCCCATAGCAAGAAAAAAAAAAAGGCTTGATCAACAGCTTGTCGGGATTGAAAGGGAAACATCAAATAGGTCAGTATTACAGAACCAGAAAATTCTGAAATATTGAGAGATCCACATTCCACATTCAAGCAATCACGCACATACAAGTTAAAGCTGGTGATATAACCATTGCAACTCAATAATTGCAGAAAGAAAAGTCAAACTCAAACCAAAAATAAAAAGCACTTACGGGGAAAATCTCTAAATGAGCAGGCCAGGTAGACAACTTTTTCTTCCCAGGACGAACAGTTTTTACAACTCGGTCACAGCGCACCAAAAGATTTTTTGCAAGTAGAATGTCAGCAATCTCCTCTGTTTCTAAATTCCTATCTGATTCTAGAATATCTTTGAGCTCCGGATGGTTTTTCAAGAAGCTCACAAAATCCTTCCCTCTAAAATACTCAACCCGCGTCTCTTGTAGAACAGCCCATCTCGAAACCAAATCCTTATGGTCTCTAACCTTCTCAGCAAACACCTGGAACACGTCTTTCTTGACAGCTTGTTTCTGAAAACAAAACAAGCCCAACACAGTCAGAAACAACTCAAAAACATAGCACAATTGAACACGACTCGCACAATGACATAATACAAACGAGAACAAAAAAAAAGGGTTTCAGAAAATCATGGATTGACATCAAAAGGATCAACCAAATCAAATGGCAATAACAACTCAACCACAGTAAAGTCTCAAGCTTCCCTAATTTCTCCTTCCCATTAAAAAAATCCAATGAAATTGAAAAACGAAAAAAAAAATTACAATGGCAGCAAAAACCCTATAACGAAGGGCTAAATGGAATGCAAAAATTGAGCTGAAAACAACACTATCACACTCACGCCAATCAACACATCTCATTTCAAATATGGCTATAGTTCTTGAGCGGTTCCAGTGAGTGCATTACTGAAACCCTAACATCGTAAAAAAATGAAATCGGAAAAATTGATGAGATGGGTTTTGGTAGGGACGAAAATGGAGTAGAAAAGACGTTGAGTAAGGAAGCGAATAGAGAGAGATTTGGGAATGGGAATTGGAAACCCTAACCCTAACCCTAGGAGGGGCGTCAGAGGTGGGATCTGGTGCGGCGGAGCGTCGGACCCTCTTCTTGTCAGCTGCGCCTCCCGAAGACTTCTTCATTTCCTTCTCTGTCTGTTACCCTACGCTCTCTCTCTCTCTCTCTTTTTATTTCTTCTATTTTTCTAACATTTTAATATCAACTAAAGTGAATCTCAAGATTCAAGTGCAATCAACTACTATCTTATAATCTTTTTATTAACTTAAATATATTTTAGTTTGTGTAAGATAAGTTAATTTTAATTTCTTTTTTTTAAGAAAATATTGTTTTTTATTTTTAATATTTATAAATATTATTTTTAATCATTGTAAAATAAGTAAATTTTTTATTTTTATTTTAATAAAACATTTTTTTCTTTCATTTTTTTAAAATATAAAATCATTATTTTTGTATTTAATGATGATTTTAAGATGGACCAATAAAACTTATCTTAAGATACTATAAAAAAAAAAAAAAACTTAAATTGACATGGTATTATTAATATCACGGGATAACATCTGATATGGTCAAATAAGTAGTTAAATTAATAGCATAATAATAACTAAAAATAATATTTTAAATTTTAGAAAGATAAAAAATAAAAATAATTATAAAAGTCAAAATTAAAACACGTATATTTTAAAAAGATTAAAATTATCTTTAAACATTTTTTATTTGACTAAATTATAATCTTTGTTACTTTTGTGACATTTAATTGGCAATGCTCCCAAAATTTTATAATTATAGTATTATAATTTTATAAAAACTTACAATTTTAGTCTTATCACTAAATTTTTGTCAATAGTAACATCAATCATCATAATAATTATAACATTAATTAAGACGTTTTTTTTGGTACATACATTAATTATGACTTTGATATTAAATAAATAATATAATAATTAATAAATTTATATATATATATATATAGTTAATATATTTTATTTTTAAGTCTTTATTTATTTTAGTCTCTCCATACATATATTTTTTTTATTTTAATCTTTATAATTTATAAGCTTTTATTATAAAAGAAACAAAAATAGTATATATAGAGAATAAAATCTGCAATATTTTTTATTATAAAAATAATTTTTTTTTCTATAAAGACTTAAAAAGTAAAATTTATGAAAATTCATGATCAAATAAGTAATTAAATCTAATTAATAGATTAAATTATATTTTTATTTTTATATCTCATAAAAGTGAAAAAAAAGATAAAAAAAAGTTTTTTTTTTCATGAATATAATCCACACAATATCTAAAAACTAATAATCAAGGATTAATCTACGCTCATAAAACATGACTTCTATTAATCAAATATTATTTTAATATAAATAAATAATATAATTTAATATTAGTTAGTAAGTATTAATTTAATATTAGTAATATTGACTTTTTTTAAAATTGAAAATATTAAAAAAAAACATTAAAAAAATAATATTTTATTAAAAATATTAAATTATACTAAAAAAATTTGCATCTATGTAATGTTTATGGAATAATTTGAAATATTTGCAATCATTGTCATCGAAAAAAAAACTAAAATTAATTTATTTAAATCCAATTGATATAAATTATATATGTTATGAGATAATGATCAAATGAATTATCACTAAATAAAATTTTAAAATTAGTTGATTATTAAAATTTAATTAAAAATTTCAATTCAAAAATTAAAATAATTAAATAGATATAATAAAATATGTCAAAACATGACTTATAAAATTTGTTAAGACCTCAAATTTTCTTGACAATCCTGTATACACACATAAAACTTTGATATAATTATCAATAAAAAAAATTAATCATAATTTCTAAATCAGTATTCTTAGGCAATTATTTTCTTAGGCAATAAAAAAGATTAATCATAAATTCTAAATCAATAAAATAAATAAAAGGTCGTTCTCAGGCTGAATGTAGAGACAAAACATTATCTTGAATACAATTTACTTGCTTGTGCTGTGTTTTAGATATTTGGGTGAGTGAACACTGAACAGAGAAGGAGCAGTTCCAACACACGTTCAAATGTTGTTCTCCAAGCAGCTTCTTAGCTTCTACAAGCAGCCACCACCACTTCTTGTTCCACTTTCTAGACACATTAATGAAGGCATTTTCAAGGAAAATAGGTTCATCAAAACCCCTTATTCTTCTTCATGTGGCATAATAGTTCATGCAGTGAAGGAAGATTCACAATCACAGCAATATGAGGTAGACCCAGAAAAGGCCAGAGAAGCACTCAAAAAGCTTGATGACCAAATCCAGTCTCTCTCTAATAAACAAGCCTCCACTTCAAAGCTAAGAGGTACTTACTCTTTACTTTTTTATCCTCATTCCATAACTAAAATTGTTGATTGATTCTTCTAGTGATTTATGTTTTGGAGTTGTCTAATTTACCTTAAGTAAAAATGGGGTTCAACAATCTAATTGGTCAATTGATTATATACTTTAAAGATAATTAGTGCAATTTTGTTAGTTACATCAACCAATATTTGTGGTAAGTTAGACAATCCCTGTGTTTTTTAATCTAAATTCCCATTACCCTCAATCACTTGTGCAATTAGCATAAAGTTTTCAAATTGAAGTTATTTTAAATGGTTTGGGTTATAATTTGTTTTACCTTTGTGGCTTTGTCTGGTGTTTACTATTGGGCTTGATATCTTCTGCTTGAATAAAATTATGAAAGAGGTGGAAGGAAATTGATAAGTAAAAAGGGAAGATGCAGAAAGTATTGGTCTTACCTTGGACCTTGTATATGCTCAATGTTGATAGTGAGAAGTGTCACTTATAAAAACATTTTGTTTTTAAACACATTTACTTGTATTAATTAAAAATCACAAAGGTTGTATTGTATCAGACTATTAGTTTTAGATTGAAACCCACTAAACAGAGAATGAGACTCATATGTTAATAAGATTTATATGAATTTTACCTCATAAAAAAGATTGTGTGACTTGTGTCAGAATTTTATGAATAATTTATTTAAAATATAATAAAATTTTAATAAATATGTAATAAAAGATTTTACATCGTCAAGAGATCAACCAAATAAAAGTTAATTTTTTTAATGATTTTTAAGGTGATTATTGTTAGAGTTAATTAACAAGTTTATCATATACTTTTATTAAATGACAATATATAAATTAGTGTACATATTTTTTTTCTCATATTATAAATGACTTATTATCATTATTTTTTTTTCAAATATTGCATAACATGAATAAACCATAATTGATTCACTAATATTATAATAAAGGGTATGTTAACAACTAAGGCCATTCAAAATTCTCCTGTGAATGATTCTTGACCTACACATTTTTCACTTACACTTTTGCAGCTTCTGAAGTAAAGTTTCCCAAAGAAGAAGCCATTGGCAATGACAAGTTAGAAATTTCTGATTCGTTTCTTGCAACTTTAGCTGGTGGTCTGATTCTCTTCACTATATTTTATAATGTGCTATTTTATAGTGTAATTAAGCCAGCCATCGATGGTCCATAACATGTCCATGGCTGGTGTGTATACATAGAAGATAGAAGTAGTAGAAGGGAATAAAGCATAAACTTTTTATAACATAAGAACCTCGCTATATATACATGTGAAGATTTGAACTGTATCATTTTTCTCACGACTATATACCAAGATTCTGAATTCTGATGCCACTTGAAATTAATTATTGATTCTTATCGAATGTTCTTCAGATTCTTAACAACTTTGTTACACACCATTTTTGGGGGGTGACGTATGAGGTGAAAGTTTACATAAATTAGATTTCAGAAATTGACACAAGATTCAAAGAACATTCACAAAAGTATTTGCAAATTGATTGTCAATAAAGTTTTTACATTTTAACAAAAATTGAACTCACTAATTGAACCAACCTTTATTATTATTTTTTAGGACACCTTTATTATTGTTATATATCATGTTTAAAAACATTCAAATTAAATTTTCTCAAGCATTTATTTGTAATTATTGTCAAATAGGTTACCTTACAAACATTTTTGAGAAAATATCTTCGAGGTAATTCAGCAAGTTAAATAATGAAAAAGTAATAGACAAATTAAAAAAAGGTTTTAAAAAAATTATATATTGAATAAAATTATATTTAAAAAATTGTAATTAAGAACTTAAAAGAAAAAAAAATAAACGAGGATACTACTTTTCTTTTAACTCATTGTTGATATGTTTATTTTATGAATAAAGTGATAATTTTAGTTTTATATATATATATATATATATGTGTGTGTATGAAGTTAAGAATTTAACTCTATAATCATTAATTAAAGAAAACGGTATCAAATTTCATGTGCTAATACCACTTTCAACCACATATTTTATATTTAATGAAAGGTTTAACAAATTATATATAGTCATCATTTTAATTTATTAATACTTTTGCTTCTATGTAGTCACCATAATTAGGACCTTTAACTCTCTGATAAGACTTTTAGATATTCCTAAAACTTTCAAAAAAAAAATTTTGAGTTGGCTATAGGTGACCAATTTTTAATCCAAGCTTGATCAAACGTAAAACTCCACCCTCCTTATCAACGCCATGTATCAACATAAAACAATCTATTTATTTATATAGTAATAAAATAAAATTGATGCTATTATCAAAATTATTTTTATTTCTCTAATTAAAATGTTAATCAATTAAAGACAGCCAATATATATTTATTGATATTCTAACTACTTATTATATAAATATCTGTAAATATTTATTTAAGTTTATTTACATATATCAAATATAAACATTATTGTAACCTTTTGCAAATAGAAAAACAGTAAAACAATACAAACTAATGCATGGGATTTTTTTGTAAAATAAATCACTATTTCAAGTATTTTTTTTAAAAGAAAAATTGAACAGTTTTATCTAAAGTACGTGGATTACATTCATTTAAAGTCAACCACATTTGACCTAATTAAGTTGGTTTTTTTTTGGTGGATTGTTATTATATTGGTGATCAAGAAATGACTTATAGATACCATAGATGAGGTGGTAGTATATGCAAAAAATTTCAATGCTTCAACCAAAATATATTTTCACAAAATAATAATATATAGAGCAATAAGAAAATACATTTAGATGCCTATAAATGAGGGGCGTCGTGATATTTATAAGTGAATGTGTTCTGAGATAATGGTGGTTATTAATAAGAGTGGACTAATGACAATCAATAGTCATATATATTGGCATCATATGAAGAGCCATTTGATATTTGCAATAAGCCAATAATACTCAAAGCAATAGTCAAGGTTGATACTAATGTCCCTCAAGGTACATGGTGTGTGTAATGACCCGCCACGGTCTCTACACTTAGTAGAATCGCACTACAACTAGTTAACTAAGAGAATATTAAACTGGTGTTTCTTCATGTGTGTTTCTATAAAAGTCTCTTCTCGTGTTGTCTCTCTTTTCTCGAGCTTTGAATCTTCTTATATAGTAGTTTGGAGAAGATGACCAACGCAACATTTCGAGTCCAGCTCACAAGTTTATTTCGCTTGTCTTCAACATCTTTCCTTGTAATAGGAGGTAACTGTTGACTCATTTAATACAAGCATTAAATGCATTTTACTTAAGGATACCTCTTATTTGATCAAGAAAACTACTTATCATCTTTCTATACCAAAGTTTATTTCGCCTGTCTTCAACATCTTAATAGGAGGGCATACTACTAAGGTTTGGTCAAGATAACTGAGTCGCCTAAGATACATTCCATGCACATAGTGCGCGAGACTGAGACTTCCAAACCAAGTTATCTCTAAGGACTGATCCCCAAGCTTTTACACAAGGGATCTTCCCTAGCGATGTATTCCATATCATACCTTTAATAACACTTTTATGCATATAATTCGTGTCAAACAGACTCTATACATAACATTTCATATGATCTCATTAATTCACATATCACATGTCTTATCATTTCACATTATCACATTATTTCACTATCAATTGATCTCACATCATATAATCATCAACTATTCTCAATATAACAATTAACAATTCAACTATATCAATTAAATATTAATAATCAATGGCATAAGGGATCACATCATTACAACTTATACATAGCTTACAATCATACCAATAACATGCTTTTGTACCACAACTAATTATCAAAATTAATTAGTACAATGATTACACATGTTTGTAGTTTAAACGCAACAATTGCACAACATCATTTGATACACCTCAAGATATAATCATTATGAGATCGTCTAATCATATGTAAACACCTCAATCATAGTTACTAAAAGATCAATGTTACTAAGTATTTAAATCAATAGCTTAACTAGCCTATTAGCCTTATCAATATCACACGTTAAATCCTTATACATCACTATTATCAAAACACTTCAAGTTGTTGACAATAAACTTATGCCATAACTTATTAACAATTAATTTCCACCATGAATTATCTTTCCTTGACATTGATATAGGTACCTTAAACAATTCTTATGATAAAATACTTAAAGGTATTGTTATTCATCATCACCATTCACATATTAAATTTTCATAACTTAATCTTCTAAGTCATCAAGTGATCCAAGCACCTTATTTGGAGCTATATATATGATATCAAGTTGATCTTAATTTTCTTAGAAAGCTAAGACAATTATCTCCAACTTGTATGTTGACCTCAAGAGCCAATTATGTCATCTATTATTTTTAAAAAAATATAAAATTATAATGTTTTAGCCTTAATTTGATAGTATGACCTTCACTCACTAATTTGATCATAACTTGAGTTATAGTGATGGAGGACCATCCATGGAGCTTCATGTGAGACCCATCACTAAGCCAAATGGCTAAGAGAGTGGAAGAGGATAGGGAAGTCAAAACCTTAGAAGACATGCTTCTCAAGATTAAAATACATTAATCACTCTCCTAAGCTTTGATAGCCTAGAATTTATCTTTATGCCTATTTTGCCCTTGTCTTTGATTTTCCATTTTTACCCTTGTATTTTGGGGTATCTTAGACATAGGATCTATTTTACTTGTATTTCCAATTTTACCCTTGTATTTTGGGGTATTTTAGTCAGAAATACTATATTGATGAAAGAAAGCAAGGTATGTTACAAATGCTAGACCTGAGCTTCGGGTTGTTTGAGTTCCATATTTGGCATGGGATCAGCATTGGAAGGAGTGATGCAGTTGAAGAAGTGACATGAAACAAAGTGAAGTGATAAGTAGGATAATTAGTTAACATTGTTCACAAAAAAAGGATTATTAGGTGAGTCAAGGTTGGTATCTTGACAAGATATTAAGGTCATTTATGATCGACCCTAAAATAACGAGTAATGCACTAATTCAATCAAGGTGTTAATTAATGACCCACTGATCAGTTTGTCGACCAAGTCAATTATTAATTTGATTTTTATAACATTGATTGATAAGACTAAAAGTTATTTAATAATCGTATAATTACTTAAAAATGTCTCATGACTTTGTGATTTAGTTGTAACCCTTTATAATTTTGTCATATGACTAGGATTTAATCCTCCATGGCAAAGAAAACCGAAGTTATTATTGCAGTTTTAACTTAAAGACGAGGAAGCTTATCCAACATGAATTGAGTTTGTACAACAAATAAAATTAGGGAATAAACATGTTTATAAGCGAAATATGAGTCACTTGCTAATATGTCATACATTTTAACAATTTCCAAGTTTTAAAAATGTGGTTCTAACACAACTTCCTGTCTGTTCTTGTTACCAATTTAAAATGAATTGTTTCGGTCTCAAATTGTAACAGTAGATTGAGCGAAACTAACCTTGATTAGCCAAATTGAACCATTTTATATGTTTTCATTTTTTTTTTTTAATGAGATTGGTCTTCATATTTGGAAGTCAGAACCATCTTTCATGATCCAACTCAGTGTTGCAATTCAAATGTTAGAGATGACTCTCATTAATTTTCAAACATAACAAACACAAAATAAAATAAAACTTACAATAAAAAAAATTAACCACAAATAAAATATCTAACCATACTGGTTGAGGAAAAAGGAAAGAAATAAGAAATAAGATTCACTTACCTCAAGTTGATTAAGGTTCAATGAAGATCGAATTTTTCTTAAAATTTTTAAAAAGTGTTTGATATACGAAAATTTTTAACTTTTTTGTGAATTTGTTGTTGGGAACTTTTTCCTTTATTGTGTGGTGAAAAGAAAAGGAAAAAGAAGGTAACTCCACATGAAAGTTAAGTACATTAAGAATTTTCCAACAACTTAAAATAAATAGAAGATAAAGATGTTAAACCGTGAAATTCCTTAGAAAACACTATCATTTTTTGTTAAGCAAGTGTTGACCCATATTGCTTTACACAAAGCCATTTCTAACCTCCATTTTCATGTTTATCCACTATTCTGCAATAAATTTTAGGGGCAATCCTTATTAAACAAAGAAAGATTTTTCAGTCGTATGTAAAATTAGATAGTGTCTATGAATTATTAAGATGGTTTTTAACAACAACTTATTACTTTGAAGATCAAAGATCGAAAATCAAAATAGATATTATACCGGATAGATACTAGAGAAATGACAAAATTACCAAAATAACCTTGTGCAAGATAGATATAATTTAATATTTGTGAAAAAGATTATGAAAAACTAAAAGATTAGATTAATGGGTGCATTATTTACCTGTAAATGATGATCAAT